ACTTAGTTGTTTACTTGTACTCTTCCGTTTTGAGAGGTGTGCAAGTCGATTGTCGAGTGTAATCTGTAAAATAAAGCAACGTTAACTTCTGTTCTTCAATATAAACCTGTTCTCCATCTTTTGGATTTTCCTGCTTTTGATTCTTGTGTTTCTAGTCCTTTCTTCACTGCTTTTTTATGGGCACTTTTTCTTTGTAAGATCTTGTGTTTTTTAAGATTGTGCACCCATTTTATAGATTTCTAGAAATGAAAATTATATATTGTTGAGTTACTTGTTATCTACTGCAACAAAACTAATATGCGGCAGCGGCACATCCAATTCAAGTGTGATCTTCATCATCCTCACCATCACAAGATTATTATAAGAGTAATAATCAGTTGAGTTAATCGCCAAAGCTCTTGAGAATAAGCAGGAGAGGGTTGACTTGAATCCCTCAATAGATCAAAGGCAAGAAAAGGGGTCAAATTTGCATGTATGAGGAGGAAGGGTCGTGGCAAGTTCTGGTTTCAAAGTCTGCCCTGCGCGTATGTTTAATATACAATATTCGATATCTCACCTATTAAATTCCCATTTTCTGATTTATTTTGATGCAGTTCTATGATGTTTTGTCATTTTGGAAAAGCAAGGAGAAAGGAGAGGAGCCATAGAAGAAAAAAATCTAACACATCTTTTGTAATATTGTATAGCTGGCTAGGACAGTTCTGTTTTATTTATTTTTTTGTCTCCTCCTGACCTTTCTTAATCGGCCTTTTACCTAATTCTTCTAATTAACCCACGTAAGTATCTATTATATATTGGACCACATTATCAAAAGCATTAAAGTATACATAGCATTCAATTATTCTCATTATAGGACCACATACAAACTATCAAAATTTCTTCAACCAAAGACCATATATATAGCATTCATACCATTTCGCCCAACACTTTGACCTTATTTCTTTGGCATTGCTGTGCTGTGAAAATAATCTCTGTCAAATTTGTTGTGAGAGAAATCAGCTGTGAAATGAAGCTGTTTGGCGTCTGGTAAACTTTTTGTTAAAAGTATTGTTGGTACGGATTCCCGTATAATCCAAAAATGATTGCCACATAATCATTAAACCCAACGCATCTTCAAAATTGATTTCTGCATAATCAGAAAATGAAAGCACCTTATTAGTTGTTTTCCCTAATAGCTTTCTCTTACAACAATTTTTAACAAGTGATTTTCTCATAGTTTACCAAATGGGTTGTGCTTCCCAAAATTTTTAAAAAATCACTTATCACCCCAAATAAGCAATACCAAACAGACACTAAAGCATTCATACATTGTCTTCACATGACACCAAACTCCAATTTCCACCAGATTTAGTTTTCAGATTGCTCGATGAAATCTTCTCTCAACTTTTTTGTCAAAAATGTATGAATTCCAGCCAATCAAACTAAACCCAACAATAAGTATTTGGCCAAAATCACTTTGTCGTTTTCGTATCTTTTCTTTTCTTTCGCCAAAAGAAAAGAAAAGAAAAGAAAAGAAACTCAGAGTCAGAATCAATGCAAGTTGTGTTCCACAGTTCTCATTCGGGAGAAATTCTTGGGTGGTAAGATAAGATTACTCAAATAAAATTATTCGGTGCTGTTTCTAATCATCACTTTATTTTTATATTCTGAAATAAAATTAGAAAAGGAAAAAAGAAAGCAAGCTGTCATTCGTCTCTCTACTGTTGTATAAAAGCTGATACACACATGACACTAGTGTATTGTATTCATTCATTCAGAAAACACAGAGAAGTAATTTTCCATACAATTTTCTTCTCTCAGTTATTTCTTCTGTTTGTTTCTCTGTTTGCTTTAAATATGATACTATCCTTCTCCACTAAGAATGCAACCCCCGAGACATACCGCGACTTCATACAAGCTCTGCGAGACCAACTCACAGCCGGACGACCCACATCACATGGTATACCGGTGCTGCCTCGAAGAGAAGATGTGCCGGACGCGCAGCGCTTTCTTCTTGTTGATCTCACAAACTCTCAAGGCAATACCATCAGGCTCGCAATAGATGTGGTGAACGCTTACGTGGTGGGTTATGCTGCAAATGGTCGAGCCTATCTTCTTCAAGAAAATGCTCGTGATAATCGGCCTCCAATACACACTTTATTCCACGACGCCACCACTCGGATTGATCTGGGCTTCGACGGCAGCTACAGCGGGCTTTCGCGGGCTGCACGAGAAGCAGTAGAACGGAATACACCACGTAATCGTGCTCGTAACCGAGCTGGGGCTAGTGCGCATGACAATACACCTGTGCTTGAGCAAATCCCCATGGGACGCAATGAACTAGATACCGCCATCAGCCTGTTGCACTCCGCGTCATCCCCAACCAACCAAGCCTTAGGGTTTATCGTCATCATTCAGATGCTGTCAGAAGCGGCAAGGTTCCGGGCCATTGAGGGACTAGTCCGCACAACCATGCGGGAAACGTACGATCCCCTTATGCGAGGCCTTGCAATGGAGAGCCTGGAAACCCATTGGTCTGATCTCTCCGAACAGATCCAGAGGGCACAACAGCGCAATGAAACAGGCTTCAATAGGACTATTGTGCTCCACAATGTCGGAAATGAACGCCGCGAAGTAAACAGTGTTGATTCACCCTTCGTTCGGGGTGTCGCGATGCTGCTCTACGACCGAAACGGAAATTGCAACCCTGCATCTGGACCTCATCGTCATGATGAATTGTAATTGTAATACTTCAACTTAGTTGTCTTTTGTTGTTTGCTTTGCTTGGTTGACTCTTCCGTTTTGAGAGGTGTGCAATTTGCAAATCGTGTCGTGTGGGTAATAAAATAACGGCCAGCAAGGTTAACTTCTGGTCTCCAATTAGTATTTTTCACATGTAATATTGCTGTCACTGGAAATTGTGTTAATGATTCAATGCCTCTAGTGGTTTCACAGAATAGCAAGTATACAATTTCCATGACCTTCTTGTTTCAGCAAGTGGTGGAAAGGCATAGGCATGCGCCTGTGTACTTGTCTCAATCTTCCACATAGAATTGCACCCCATATTTTTTATCCTTGTTTCTATATCATTCTTCACTGCTTTTTTATGGGCACTCTCTTTGCAAGATCTTGTGTTTCTACCCTTCTTCACTGCATCCCATTATTTTCTGGTCGTGATGTGAACTAGTAAAGTATATGTGGCTACCGTAAAGAGGATTTCAGATCAAAGAGATTAATTCTTCGTCATTTAATTGAGATGAAGGCACAAAGAGATTAATTGACCGAATGATGCAACAATAATTCATATACATGTGTGTATATATATATATATATATGTGTCACACCTTTTAATTTCATGTACATTTCAAGCATTTTCACTTCAGCCACCCACTTTAGATATTTGTGGAGAGTTGTGTGTTGTACACACCTCTGGCACCAACTCCAGCAGCTGATAGATATTAATTATGACATATTAATATTTAATACAATGAATAGGACTTGTTCTCTTTTTGGACATTGTTTAATGGACCCACACAAGCGACGAATCGACGGCTTCAAATTTAACCATATATTTTGAATATACTTTCTAGATATATGCTGTGACAATGATTGTTTTGTCTTATTCCAAGTGTGACAATGATTGATTAGTGAAATACAATATAGAGAGCTTCTGTTAAGGGATTCTTCAAATAAGCTTATTTGATAGACACCCTTGTCGGGCTCACTCCGAATTGTATTTCACTAATCCAAATCATCTATTTTGTACATATTCATTCAAAGATCATCTCTACAAAAAATCACTTGAATCCGATATCATTTGACCATTCAATTAAATTATTGAAATTTTAGTACTTTCTTGAAGTATCGTGTTCATTGATTTTGTTGGTTTCAATTAGATGCCTTAATGATTTTCAATTTATTTGATTTTTTACAAGGATGTGTTAGCTCAACAATGGCAGCGGCTGGAAAGTCCTCGACGCCAGCTTTGTTGGCTCTCCGGTTGCTGGTCACAACACGAAGTTCGAACTTCTGGTTGCTGTGGAATAGGTCGTGCAGCACATGGTGACTCGGTGGTCGGCATCGATGACAGAGCAAGTTGCTGCTTCGTATATTTTTTTTCTTCTTTTTTTTTTGTTGCTTTTGTATCGCTTGCCTGGAGACTGAAGCATGTCTACCAAAACCAAAACCAAACTTGCATTAGGAGATATTCTTATCATATTCACACCATTTCATTAAATAAAAAAAATAAAAAAAAGACCATATAGCATATTCACACCATTTCATTAAAAAAAAAGACCATGTAGCATATTCACACCATTTCACCTAACCATATATTGTCTGCAGTACTGCACATTGATTATAAAACTTTTTTTTGACTAAGGTACCACTACATGCAAATATCTTGTACAATAACCTATACGACCTAAAACATCAACTCATTTTGTTGAGTTATTGCCCAATTATCCATCTTCAACTTGGTTTTTACAGTATTCAACTATCGTCTTTTCAGTTTCTTGTCAAATCTCACCAGCTCACAAACTTAAATCTCAGTTTGGATTAGACTTAGAGGTTAGTTTTAAAGTTAATTTGCGGAAAGGAAAGGGCTTTGGAACGCATGCCTTGAGTTTGGGAGCCCCTTTTTTTCCACCCGAAAATGCCCTCGAGTTTGATAGCCAGCTTCAAACTTTAAATTAGGATGACTTGACTTGCGTTTGAACATGGGCTGCAATTATAATATATGGATATTAATGATTCGAGAGACAAAGACGAACAAGGCGGGGAGCAGCAACCCAAAGTCTTCATACGCTATCATAAAACAAATTAACCCAAAGTCTTCACACCTTTTTTAATCATCATAATCAGCTTTGGACAGCTGTTATTCTCTCTCTACTGTTGTATAAAAGCTAGGGATACACAGTACTGTATTCATACATTCAGAAAACACAGAGAATTAAGTTTCATACAGTTTTTCTCTCTCAATTCTTTCTCAGTTTATTGCATTTTCTTCAGTTTGCTTTAATATGGTACTACCATTCTCCACTAGGAATGCAACCCCCCATGCATACAGCGACTTCATAGAAACTCTTCGAAACCGACTCACAGCGCGCGGACGAACCATATCACATGGTATACAGGTGCTGCCTCGAATACAAGATGTGCCCGACGAGCACCGCTTTGTTCTTGTTGATCTTACAAACTCTGACAACAATACCATCAGGGTGGCAATTGATGTGGTGAACGCTTACGTGGTTGGTTATGCTGCTGGCGGTCGATCCTACTTTCTTCAAGAAAATGCTCCTGGCAATCCGCCTCCAATCCACACTTTATTCCTCGGCAATGGTATCATTCCGATGCCTACTCTGAACTTCAACGGCACCTACGGCGGGCTTGCAGGAGCTGCACAAGATGCAGTACAAAGGAATACACCACGTGATCGTGCTCGTAACCGAGCAGGGGCAAATATACATACGAATACACCTATTCTTCAGCGAATCCCTCTGGGACGCAATGAACTAGATAACGCCATCAGCCTGTTGCGCTACGCGGTATCCCAATCCGACCAAGCCGTAGGGTTTATCGTCATCATTCAGATGCTGTCGGAAGCGGCAAGGTTCCGAGCCATTGAGGGACTAGTCCGCACTACCATGCGGGAAGACTACGATCCCCTTATACGAGGCCCAGCAATGGAGAGCCTGGAAACCCATTGGTCTGATCTCTCCGAAGAGATACAGAGGGTACCTGAAGATGAAACACTCTTCCGTAACAATAGGACTATTGTGCTCCACAATATCAGAAATGACCGCGTCCAAGTAAACAGTGTTGATTCACCCTTTGTTAGGGGTGTTGCGATCCTGCTCTACGACCGACACCAAAACCAAAACCAAAACCGAAACCGAAATTGCAACCCTGTGAGAGTGCCTGGACGTCGTCGTCCTGATCATGATGAAATTTAATTAATACCTCTGTTTGTTTGCTTGGCTGGCTCTTCCGTCGTGTCGTGTGTAATAAAAAAATAAAGATCAAGGTTCTGTTATATATCCATCGATTGGACGTCCTCATTTTCATGATGAATTTTAATTGGTTGTATTGTATACATCATATGTCTTTTGTACTGTACCTCTGTTGTTTGCTTTGCTTTGGCTCACTCTTCCTTTTTGAGAGGCATGCAAGTCGTGTCATGTTTAATAAATTAAAGCAAGGTTGTGTTCTTCAATCTTGTGCTTTGGCTCACTTTTACGATACGACCTAAAACCCTTTCAACACCAACAACCCAAATCCCAAAACATTAACAAGATGACGTACGTACCATACAGAGGCTGCCATCCAACTAGGATTAGAACCACCATCCTACCCACACACGCGACGAATCGACGGCTTCAAATTTAACCACATATTTTGAATATACTTTCTAGATATAAGCTGTGACAATGATATGTTTTGTCTTAAGTGGGTAAACATCCTCTTCATCTATCCATGATATCTTGTCGACAATAAATATGATATTCATAAGTTGATAAAGTACCAGTTTCGTTTAGAGAGACAAAGTCCAACAAGGCGACTGCAGCAACCCAAAGTCTTCATAGCTTTTTCAATGCATGACATATTTGAGACTTTGGCTTCTTCCAAGTCTCAAGTAACAAAGATATTTTTAGCTACAATTTGCTTTATTCTTGCTTGTTAATCATCATAAGCCACGGGTGTAGCCAGCTGTTACTTTCTCTACTGTTATAAAAGCTGATACATAGTGGTGTATTCATATTCATTCAGAAAATAGAGAGAATTAATCTTCATACAGTTTCTAGATCTCAATTTCTTTCTCATCATTTTCTTGTGTGTTGTTTCTCTGTTTGCTTTAACATGGCACTCGTCTTCTCCACCAGGAATGCAACCCCGCAGACATACCGCACCTTCATAGACGCTCTGCGACTCAGACTCACAGCCGGACGTCCCACATCACATGGTATACCGGTGCTGCCACGAAAAGAAGATGTGAAGGATGCGCAGCGCTTTCTGCTTGTTGATCTAACAAACTCTGAAAACAATACCATCACGGTGGCAATCGATGTGGTGAACGCTTACGTGGTGGGTTACGCTGCAGGTGGTCGATCCTACTTTCTTGCAGAAAATGCTCCTGACGATCGGCCTCCAATCCACGTCTTATTCCCCGGCACCACTCGGGTTCCTACTCTGCGCTTCAACGGCACCTACAGCGGGCTTGCGAGCGGTGCAGAAGAAGTAGTACGACGTCGGCGTGCTGGTAACCGTGACCCACATATAGATGAGAAAACACCTGTTCTTGTGCAAATCCCTCTGGGACGCTATCAACTAGATGAGGCCATTGGGCTGTTGCGGGCGGCGGTATCACAACCGGAACAAGCCTTAGGGTTTGTTGTGATCATTCAAATGCTTTCGGAAGCGGCAAGGTTCCGACAAATTGAGGGACTGGTCCGCACTACCATGAAGGAAGAATACGATCCCCTTAAGCGAGGCCTTTCACTGGAGAGCCTTGAAACCAATTGGTCTGATCTCTCCGAAGAGATCCAGAGGGTAGCGGCCAATCAAACACGCTTCCATAGGGGTATTACGGTCCACAACATCTCAAATGCACGAGTCGAAATAAACAGTGTTGAATCACCCTTTGTTCAGGGTGTCGCGATGCTGCTCTACGACCGAAAGCGAAAGTGAAATTGCAACCCTCCTGGACCTGCAGCTGCAGTGAGAATGTATGCCTATGAACATGATGAACTCTAATACGTATTACTTCAACTTATTTGAGTCTTTAAATTTGTACCTTTGCTTGGCTGACTCATCCGTTTTGAGAGGGTGTGCAAGTCGTCTCGTGTGTAATAATATAATAAAATAAAGCAAGCTTCTGTTTTTCAATCAAAATATATATCTCCATATGCATCGATTGGAGTTGCTGGTTGGTTTCATCGCCCTCTCAAGTCTAAAGACTCTAAACCCACCAACTTACCACTTACCAACGTAACCATAAAGTATTGACCAAAAAAAAAAAAACGTAACCAGAAAGTAAAAAAGTGTGACAGAGTCGCAAACTACAAGCTTTCACTCGTTTTTGGTGAACAGTGGTCTTTGTTAATGAAAGATGAAGAGTGAACGAATGAAATTGATGAGCACTTGCAAACTACGTGTTCATGAATGAATCTATATTTGGCTGTTTGAATTCTAGAACTTCAGATTGAGGTAATGGCAATGGAATTCTAGAACTTCATCTACATTATAACATGCAGTCTCTAGACATCTTATGGGCCTGCCTTGGCTACGCGGTAGTATTATTTTTTGGGCATTCATATAGAAAAAGGCTTGAGCTGCACCATCTTATTTTAAGCACATTTTTTATTGCCCTATACCCTATAACAGTGACAAGAGAAGCTTAAAACTTATTCATAATGCTCTCAACCACCAGAACATTCCCTTTTCTAAACCAATTTTCGTTTAGAAAAAACAAAAACAGTTGAACGGAATACTGTGGCCTCATTTTCTATGGTTCTACCCGTTTAGACTGAATCCAAAATCCCACTCCCAAGAAAGAATATGACTCTTCACCACGGGACAAGCCCCCCCATGTTTCAAAAGTAGACATGGATTATGGATACCATACCATATACCATGTAGTATCCGTATATAAATCTAAACTCACATATATACCCCAAGACAAGTCTTGAAGATTGGTTGAAGCATCCTCGTGTGCATGAAGGTTCATTCGCATTCAACGTATATGATAATAGAACGCGACCCAATCCGCATTACCATCAATCTCATGTTGTAAGAATATGTTTATCATCTTTGTGTCTGGCACAAATACTAGCATGTCTATCACATCTTGGTCATCATTAAACTTAACTAGCTCACCATCATTGCCATAACGAGGGATATACTATACCAGTAACTAATCAAACCATCACTTCCTAACTCCATTACCATACTATCTCTACTCTCAATTATTGATATTCTATCATTGTCACAATAATCAACCCAATCTACTTTGCTATTGACATAATAGTTCCCCATTACTAGTTCACCACCATGATACATCTAATAGGAAAAAAAAATCCATGACAAACACCACAAATGATGTGTTAGTCTTGGACCACATTATAGCATTCAATTATTCTCATACAAAAAGCCAAAGTTTCCTTAAACAAGGACCAGATAGCATCACACCATTTTACCTAAAATTAGCATTATATTAAAGTCATACATTGTCTACACATGATATGTCAATTTTTATAACGGTGTAAATCGATAAAATTGAAACTTGATGACCCATTTTGAAAACGATCCTAAACCCTAGAGGTGTATAATATCGATAACCCTAAATATTAATGTGAGTCGAGAGACAAAGTCCAACAAGGTGGCTGCAGCAACTCAAAGTCTTTATATAATTGTATCTTAAAAAGACAACCGAAAGTCTTCATAGCTTTTTTAATTCTCATCATAGCCAGTTTTAGTCAGGTAGGTGTTAGCCAAGCTGTTACCCTCTACTGTTGTATAAAAGCTGATATACACGGTGTATTCGTTCCATTCAGAAAATAGAGATCTAGAAAACTGTATGAAGATTAAATCTCTCTATTTTCTGAATGGAACCAACACAATCCTTCGTCACTATGAATTCAACTCCCAAAACATACAAAATTTTAATACAATATCTGCGGCTCCGACTCACAGCCGGACGACCCACAGCACATGGTATACCGGTGCTGCCTCGAAGAGAAGATGTGCCCGACGAGCGGCGCTTTATTCTTATTGATCTCACAAACTATGCCGGAGATACCATCACGGTGGCAATCGATGTGGTGACCGCTTACGTGGTGGGTTATGCTGCAGGCGGTCGATCCTACTTTCTTCGAGAAAATGCTCGTGAGAATCCGCCTCCAATCCACGTTTTATTCCGCAATACCATTCGGATGCCTACTCTGGGTTTCGACGGCACCTACCACGGGCTTTCGGCAGTTGCACATGATGCAGTAGTACAGAATGAACCACGTCATGGTCGTGGCCATAATAACCCACCAGCAAATATACATGACAATACACTTATGATTGATCGAATCCCTCTGGGACGCGATCAACTATCTAACGCCATCAGCCTGTTGTGCTTCCCGGCACGCGATTCCTACCAAGCCGTAGGGTTTATCGTGATCATTCAGATGCTGTCGGAAGCGGCGAGGTTCCGATCCATTGAGTTTCTACTCGCCCCTACCATGCAGGAAGGCGAGGCTCCCATTACACCACCCCCTGCAATGCGGAGCCTGGAATCCAATTGGTCCCGTCTCTCCGAAGAGATCCAGAGGGCTCAACACCGCAATGTAAGACGCTTCAATAGAACTGTTGTGCTCTGCAATATGAGCAATGAACATCGCGAAGTAAACAGTGTTGATGCACCCCTTGTTCAGGGTATCGCCATACTGCTCTACGACCGAGACGGAAACCGAAACCAAAACCAAAACCAAAACCAAACTTGCATCCCAGGACCTTCAGTGAGAATGAATGAACGTCGTCGTTTTGATGATGAAATTTAATATTGTCAAGTTACTTGTCATGAGCTCCAACAAAATGCAAATTATTACCAGTAAGCCTTCTCTCTTCTGGGATATTTTTGTTTTTGGGCCGAATCCACTGTTCCCTTGGGCTGATAACACAAATTCGGTACATCATATTTTCCCCAAACTTCAAAATGGAATAAAATCATAGGATTGGCCCCTCTTGCAAAGGGAGTGGAGTGGGGCCCTAATCATGGTCCCAAATATAAGAAATGTTTTTTTTTAATTACCAAAAATGGTCCATCGACTTATGCTCAAGTTCCATTATAGTTCTCAAATTATTATTTTTTTTAATTTCCAATAAAAGTTCTTTGACCTAAATGGTCCAGGGTGCCCGAGTTCCATTTTGGTTCTCTAACTAATATTTTCAGCTCAAATAAACGATTTTTGACCGAAATGGTCCTTGGGCCATATGATTTTTTAATTTGGTAGGTTTAAGCTTGTTTTTGCCCTTTGCTCTCTGAAGAGCATCCTACCCATCAGCCAATGAATATGCAAGACACTCCCCACAAAGTCACGGCAGTCTGTAGCCATTCAAGTGTGATTGCTTCATTATCTCAATCAATCCCTATAATCTTGGAACTGCCTATTTTATGTTTTACCATTTGTATAATTTACCTTGTTTTTATTCATGTATAATTACTCAGTTGAATGGAATAATGTGGTCTCAAATTCTATACAACCAATAAAGCTTCACTACGTGGCAAGCCATATCAGTCTAATAAGATTACAAAAGTAGACATGGATATCATATACCATGGTAGCATGTGTAGCCAAATTCAAACTCACATATATATCCCAAGACAAGTCTTGAAGATTGGATGAAGCATCCTCGTGTGCACGAAGGTTCATTCACGTGCAACGTATATGATAATATAGACAGCACCACCCAACTCGCTCTAAAAATGCGGACTCTGAATATAAAAAAACAAAGACTGTGTGTCTGTCTCTCTGACCCATAAAGCCAAATAAATCCATGTGCCCTCCCCTTCACCGCCCACCGGAAAACTGCCCTCGTAGACGGTGACACTGCTGAACCACTCAGATGACGCCACTTGCCGGGGATAAAACTGGAGAATATGGGCAGTACGACGTGGCAGGATGCTATTGACTGGGATTTGTCTGTTGTATTTGTTTAGGGTATACACAGATACCTACCGTTAATCCAATCCAATCCAATGTATGGGGTCGCTGGCTAACCGGTGTGGCTCACGTTATGGCTTATTTATGGGTTTTCATTTTCATTATCGAAGGGATGGAGAAAATTTGGCCCAATGAACGTGGCAGAAAAATACATGCACTAAAAACTAAAGGTGTGACAGGGGGTATCAGAAAATTTTCAGCATTCAAAGCTTCTGAATCCAAACTTAAACAAATAGATTCTCAAAGTTTTTTCAACGGTGAATTATATTGACCAAACATCATGTGTCACTCATTACATTAATTATTCAAATAACTTCGTATGAATAATTACATTAATTATTTGAACAATTTCATATTTTGACCCATCACTTATAACATCTTAAATATATGGTGTTTTTTTTTTTAAAGGACTTTTTTTATTGAGAGGAGCCAAAGAATACTAAATTCACACACATTACATAAATATTAGGACTCGAATTCAGGATATATAGTGATATTAAAGACGTTAAGAGTCGTGATTGTTCACCAACTAATTATTTGCTTAGTGATATAACTTTATATTATTACAAAAAATCTGAGTATGGTAGAAGGATGCATAAAAAGTGAGTAGAAATTACGATGCCGGATAATATCACAACTTGTATTAAAATTAAAATTTAAACTAAAAACGACAAAGAAAAAAAAACAGGTGGTGGTAGGATAATATCGACAGGTCGGATATTATAGTAATCATTAGGTTCATAGTCACCATCACGTGTAGATAGAGTGCAGTCTTTGGGGGATTTGGCTGAGGCGGAGAGGAATTTTGTAACCATTAAAAAGAAAGCTGAGTCAGCTCTTTCGCTTTAGTCTCTGCAAGTTTTAGATGAAACGGAACAACTATCATTTAGTTTAGTAGTATTTGTCTCAACTTAATTTGGTGCAGAGGATCATATACAACTTACGTGAATAACAACGATGACAAAATATATACGATGAGTTTAATATCTAATTGTGACTAATGGCATATTTACTAATCCGTAATTGAATTACAAAGAATTGAATTGAGGAGGAGTTTGATTGAGGAGAATTAGATTCCGGATTTCTAATGAAGTTGTTTACTAAACCATATAAATTAAGGGGAGTTAGATTCTGGATTCCTAT